TTGAAAAGGCAAATTACCTTGTGGAGGTGGAAAGACATCTCCCCGACCTGAACGATAACGTCGCTGGGAAGTCCAGTTGTGCAGAACCTGCAAGGCCCACAAGAAGACGGTCATCAGTGAATCACTAACCACATATATTTCGGCTTGCACAGTTTTAGTGAAGCAAGTGAGGTAATGGGTACGAGTAGTAGTGTAAAAGAACAGCTTCCCTGTTTAACTTAGATGCTAAAGAGAGAACTGATAAGGCATTGTTTCATATCCTGACCATCTCTTTAAACAGAATCTATAGACAGACCGGCATTGCTTCTACAGAAGCTACTATAAAAGAGCAGGAAGGTCGCTGTAGGCTAGACTCTAAAAATATCCACCCTGAAGTACTGGAAGGGGACACCTGCATTATCTGGCATTTCAGCCTCACCAAACCTTAAAACTGGCCCTGTACATGAAAGCGAAAGGGGAAACAAAAACCCTAGCGCTTCATAAAGCACAACAAGAAGAGGAAGTAGTAGCAATGTGGGTGCAGACTGGAGTAAATCACACAAATCGCCATGCCATGCCATGCCAGAAAATTGGGCAAGAAAGGAAGATCCTGGAGTTCATGTCATGTGCCCCCAAATCCCCATTTGAAACACATTATACTCTTTCTACCTTTTCTAATTTTCAGACTATACATAGTAAACTAACAGCAGGAGGCCAGGAACAGGACAAGCGCGCCCAATTGTTTAATGTCGGCCACGAAGCTTCCAAATCGCACACATTTGCATGCATGGCAGCACAAGTCTGAAAGAACTGAAGCAAATGGCAAAGCCATGGCTGGTAAAAAAAAAGGAAGGAGCAGAGCATGGAGCATACCATGCTTGGCCTCGCCTGGTGAAGGCGTCCGGCTTGGAGCCCAGCTTGACGGAACCCATGGATCCTTGGAGGGATGGAGCGAGGGAGGAACGGATCTGACTCCCGTGCGTCCAAATCCGGGGAGCACGCACGGCACGGGCAGCACACCCCAGCCAGGTAACCGCCACTCCAGAGTTCTCTCTCTCTAATCAACGCCCCGGTCCCGAGATGGAGCAAGAAAACATCACCATTGCAAAGGGCGAGGGAATGTGGAGGCGCAGAGGCTAGAAACTCCTCACGATTCCTGGGGCTGGAGCTCTAGCAATGGGGGATGGGGAGCGGGAGCAAGGCGGAGCAGAAGGGAAGGAGCGGAGAGTCCAAGAAACGATGGGCCGGCGACTGCGGTGGGGGCGAAGGAGAAGGCGAGAGAGCGGGCGGCTGCAGCCGGGGACAAAGAAGAAGGGTGGATTGGTGCGAGAGGGGGCTGCGTGCTGACAAATGGTGCATTGATGTGGGTTTTGGAGACCTGGGGTGGGAACGAAGAGGGGAATGCTCCAGAGAGAGAGAGAGAGAGAGAGAGAGAGAGAGAGAGAGATTAATTTTTTGTTGGAGGAGATCTACCTCTCCTCTACTCTAATCCAATCTGGGGCGTGGTGCAGTGCAGTGAGATCCTCCTGTAGTCCTGTTGATTTCCACAGAGTGGACCCGGTAGCGTCCAGCGTACTACTGCAGTGCAGATCCATGGCATTAACAGTCTGCACACAGCGTTTCGTTCACGTCGTCTGTGATCTACGGTACAGATAACAGATCCATGGCATTATCTTACTAGCACTCTTATCACAGCATTCATTCGTTCACGTTGTTTGTGTGCTCGGCATTATCAAGGCTTTGGCATCTGCTTGCACATGACCGGAGCCCGGCCGCTTTGCTTTTGCTTTGGGACTGCAGCGGCAGGGAGCACGTAGTACGTGGTACTAGTAGGGAGATAAACAAACGAAGCCGGGCGTTGGAAACGGAACGGAATGGACGCTTGCTTGCTTGCCTTCTGGTCCACGCCGAGGACCTTTGGCAGGCGCCTTCCCCCATGCAGCTGCAAAGAGCCGGCGCGACAGTCAGAGCAGTGACCAGGAAAAGATAAGATTCCTGCTCCGCGCTGCGCCCTCACCGACAGAAAGTAGTACTGTGACTGGATTTGCTTCCCGTTGATTCTTCTTCTCCTTCACAAGGATGAGAAGGCACGTGTGTACTCATCCAACAAGTGTTCGTCTTTGGGTGAGTGAATAACTTGGAATTATTTGAAAATGGAAGTTGGAACGTGGAGACGGTCCCTGGCAAAGCGTGGTCAGAGCCAGGTATGAAATCACCGGTGGGATTAAGCGGACGAGGCATAAAACGAAATGAGTGAATCTACACTTTAAAATATGTCTACATACATCCATATGTAGTAGTTATTTGAAATGTCTAGAAAGACAAGTATTTAGGAACGGAGGGAGTAGAAGGGAAGGAAAATGGTAATAGGGAATGGCCAACAAACTGACTTTTCCATAGATGCATTGTGTGGTGACTTTTCCCCTCGGTGAAAAGTCCCCACAATTTTATGGAACTTAACTGATCCGGACTACGATAGTTAAGGAGCAACAAACTTGAGAATCTTCCTGGGCTTTGGCAATACATTGTCTTGAAACAGGCTTTCGCCCCGCTTTATATATAAAAAAACTACATTGG